TTATGACCTAATCATAGGGTTATGAATATCTGATTAATTTGATTTTTTACATAGATAATATTCTTAACGAATTCTACAATATAAACAGTTCAGATCATCAAAAACACTTGAAATGACCTTCCATAAAGAGGCACAACAGGTTGCTAGCTAGCAGCATGCCAAATCCCATCAAAGAGGTGTTTTGGAAATGGCATTTTTTGGTTTTTTTTATTATTATTTTATTTTCGTCTTTAGTATATTTAAAAAAAAAAAACTTTAAAATTTTTAAATTGAGTTCGACGAGATGAATCGAAAAATTATAATTTTTTATAAAAAAATCCAAAAAAATATAAAGGACAAAAATAAACCAAGATAAACAATTTTTTGGACTTATTTTTGTCTTGAGTGATTTTTTTTTAAAAAAAAAGATATACTTTTAAGATTCATCTTGACAATACGGACTGGAAAATTAAATTTTTTTTTACATAATTTTCAATAAAAATCACTAAAGACAAAAAAAATAGGAAAAAGAGTTTTTTTTTTCCCGGGCCAAAGCCTACATGCAATTCACATGTGACCCTCCCAAAAATTGGGATATGTATGTATGGGAAAGTTACGAAAGAAGAAGAATTCTTTTTGGTCCAGGCAAATCAATAAGTGCTATTATGGTGCCCATTGGACATTACTATACCATGACTTCGAAGAATGAATGGTCTTTTGTCCTCTTCGACTGCTTTTTTGATGCTTCATCGTGTATGTTCAAATTTTATTTCATAGTGAAACACTAATTTTATTCCATAGTGAAACACTAATTTGTGCCCAGAGTCCAAAAAAAACACTAAACAAGCAATCAAATAATAAACACACAAGTTTTACGTGATTCGACAATGCACCTACATCTACCGAAGCGAATTTTCACTAAATTTCAAAATAACAAACAAATACAACAATGGAGGAGAAGGTGACTCTCTAACTCAATTCACATTCACACTCACACTCACTTTGGTTACACTTGCTTGCTCTCAAGTGCTCTTGCACGATCTGTTCTTGTATACTACTTATACCCCTATTTATACACCAAGAGTTAGAGACAAAAGATTATTTTTCTAATACTTCAACTTGCTAACTTACTTACAAATTGATGTTACAAATTCAGATTTTAAAAATGTAACTTGTTCGCTTACTCTTCTAAAATCTGAATCAACCCACTAAGTTGACTCAATGAGCCACTTAATGAATCAACTAAATTCAACACTTAAGTGCAAATAAATCAGTCCCATATATATTTATGGGTAAATTACAAACACATCTCATGAGATTTACTTAAATTACAAATTATCTCTGTAATTTTAGAAACTACATTACGCCCCCTAAAGTTTTTAATTTCATAACAAATAGGTCATTTGATTAATAAATTATAAAGTTAATTAATAATTTTTAATAATGTTAAAATTTTATTTCAATTAATAATTCAGATAATTTTATTATTGTATAAGTGAACTGTTAGAAATTTCATTTTTTCAATTAATTTTGTTAAATAAAAAATTATGACAAGAAGGTATTTATAATTTTTCAAATCATAAGGAATAATTCATATTTTAACTGAATTTTAAAGAGTGTATTTATAATTTACAGTATATTTATTGACGTAGACTGCATTATTTTATATTTAAAAATAAAATTATATATAGACCCTTTTGCAAACGATCCAAGTGAACATAGCCAACTCGAAATTATGACTGTGCATGTTGATGTTTACAAACACGAAAAATGCTTGAGAGCTCTAAGAAATGAGCTCTAAACCATGCACTAATGACATGGAAGTGTGTGGGGTCTAATTTGATGTGATGCTTTAGCTTGAATTTTATTTTATTTTATTTTTTTTTTGGGACTGCCAGCTCAGTAAAGCTCTTTTTAGAGCTCTACTTTTAGAGCTCTATAGCATTGTTGTTACAAACACTATATACCGTAGCCAACTCGAAATTATGGCCGTTCACATGCTGATGTGTACAACCACTATATACGGTAGGCCACCCGTGTCCAATGTTGTGAGTTCGGATCCTCTCCAGCTCTTCTCTCCAGCCCTTCCTCCGGTCAATGGTCAGGATTTGGCCACGTCACTCCTAACCAAATCTACGGCTCAAATCAAATTAGCTAACCCAAAAAAAAAAAAAATGAATTTTATTCAACACAGCAAAGCATAACAGATCTTCCTCCCATATCTTGAGCTCTGCCGACTCCATCTCCTGACATCGACGGCGGCGAATCCAAGTCAGCCGCCACCATACAGCCACATCTCCACCACAACACAGCCACAGTCCATGTTTTTCTTACGAATGGACATTAAATTGTGACTCACAGATTAAACCCACTAGGCTACTCTTAGATTAAACCCACAAGGCTACTTTGTAATTCCTCTCCTACACAGTAACCTTTAGACCCTTCTTCAATGGGTGATATCTCTAATCATGCACCATTGAGAGAGGGCATTTGTGGTTTGTTTGAAAGAAGGTGTTTTTGGGATTGCTCTATTTGTGTATTGAGAGAGAGAGAGAGAGAGAGAGAGAATGAACAAAACAAAGAAATTATATGAACATATATATATATATATATATATGAGATGAGAAGGAATTGAGGAAGTGGATATTTGGAGGGCAAGAATTTCAAGGATTGCTCTGTTTATTCTTCAATGAATATATGTAGCAAAATATATGTATTGTTGAGATAGATAAATAGAGGAAGAGACCCGAGAAGGAGCCATCGATGTTCGCCGCCGATGGTGCTTTGTATGTTCGTTCGTTCATCGAGCCGTCGCCGTCGATGTTCCTTCGCCTTTGAACACAATTTTCAGGAAGCTCTGCTTTGCTTTGCTGTGTTGAATGAAATTCAATTTTTTTTTTTTTTTAATCTGATCTGAGCCATAGATTTGGTTAGGGGTGACGTGGCCAAATCTTGGCCGTTGACCAGAGGAAGGGTTGGAGAGGGGGCCTGGAGAGGATCCGAACTCCAACGTTACGACATTCTTTCATCTTTGCTTCTTCTCCGTCCGTACGTTCATACGCCACGCAACAGTCGCATATATTTTTCTCCCAAATTTTCTAAACACTCCTTCTTGGGACCCAGTTGGGGTGACCCAACACCCCCCACCTCCAAGTTGGGGCTGTGACTTGCGGATAGAAAAATAAATAAATAAATAAATAAAATTTGAACCAATCACAAAATAGTGAGGGTGTTGGGATCAATCCACTGGGGTTCAACTCATTTTCCTTTTCTAAATTATACCTATGTTACAAAAAAAAAAAAAATTAAAATTTTAGAAATTAAAATTTACGAGCAAAATTGTTTTTTGGAAATTAAATAATTTTATTACAAAAAAATATCATTTTATATTTTTAGCAATAAAAATTAGATATTAGTGATAAATTATTATCTTTTTTGGACCAAATTATTTATCTCAAAAAATAAATTATTTTGAGACGAAATTATTTTGTTCTTAAAAGTCTATTTATTAATGACATTTTCAAAATTTTATCGCTAAAAGTCTTATTTTTGACTTTTCGAAAGGACTTTTTAGCAACTATTCTAATGATGATGGAAATTGATTCCTAAATATCTTTTATAATAAAATTTTCATTTTTAAAAATCAAAACATTTGATTTGTAAAACTCTTAGGCCCCATTTGTTTTAGGCTATAGGGAGGGTATTGGGACTAGTAATACTAAGGTATTACTAAGTCCTTGTTTGTTTGCAGAGATAGCCTTGGGACTATTTGTCCCTTGGTATTACTAACACCCTTGGAAGGGGGATTGGTAAGGAGAAGGTAGAGATTGTATTAGAAAATAGTGAGGGGATTAGAAATTTTTTTATTTTTTATATATTGGGAATTTTTTTTTAAATATAATGTTTAATTTTTTATATTTTTTTATTTGTTTTATTATTTTATATAAAAATAATTTAACAATTTCTCATTATTAATCCCCTCATTATCAATCCTCTCACTAACAATCCCCTCACTATTAATCCCCTCACTATCAATCCCCTCCATTCTATCTCCCAAAACAAACGGGGTCTTATATTGTAGTGCTAGTAGCCACATCACAAGACACATACAATCATTTATAGCACAAAGTACAAGCACATCAAAGGGAATTTACATCCCGAGCCTCTTTGGATAATTCAAATCATTTATATTATATAGTTCATCGAATAAATTAATAATGTAAAAAATCGCGTTGATTGGATAGCTGTAGTCTTATAACAAAAGCATATTTGTTTTTATAAAAATTAATAGTTAACATAACTTTTATAAATTTTTAAAAACAATTATGACCTAATTATAGAGTTATGAATATCTGATTAACTTGATTTTTTACATAAATAATATTCTTAACGAATCCTATAATACGAATAGTTCAGATTATCAAAAGGCACTTAGAACGACCTTTCACAAAGGGGGCACAACAAGTTGCTAGCAGCATGCCAGATCCCATCAAAGAGGTGTTTTGGAAATGGCATTTTTTAATTTTTTTAATTATTATTTTATTTTCGTCTTTAGTATATTATTTTTAAAAAAAAATCAATAACTTTTAGGATTTTAAATTCAGTTTGACAAGATGAACCGGAAATTATAATTTTTTTAAAAAAAATAGAAAAGACAAAAATAAACCAAAATAAACAATTTTTTGGGCTTATTTTAGTCTTGAGTGATTTTTAAAAAAATATATATATACTTTTAAGATTCATCTTGACAAGATGGACCGGAAAATTAAATTTTTTTACATAATTTTGAATAAAAATCACTAAAGAAAAAAAAATAGGAAAAGGAGGCTTTTTTTTTTTTCTTCTTTTTTTGCCTGGGCCAAAGCCTACATGCAATTCACCCCTCCCAAAAATTGGGATATGTATACGTGGGAAAGTTGTTACGAAAGAAGAAGAATTCTTTTTGGTCCAGGCAAACCAGTAAGTGCTATTATGGTCCCCATTGGAAAACTACTATATAATGTCCCTTTGAGCGTCCCTAATTCCATGGCAATCCAACCATGACTTCGAAGAATGAATGGTCTTCTGGCCTCTTCGACTGCTTTTCCGATGCTTCATCCTGTATGTTCAAATTTTATTCCATAGTGAAACACTAATTTATGCATTAGCATCATCAGATGTTTCTGTTTTGTTTACATCAATTAATTGGTTGGTAGTTTACTAATGAAAATATAATATAAATAATAAAATTATTTATATCTCTAACAATTTAAAAAATAAAAAGAAGAAGAAGAGAGAGAGAGGGATAACATGCTACTCTAATTGATGAATCTTGTACAGGTTGTCTGACAATTTGGTGTCCATGCGTTACTTTTGGACGGATTGCTGAAATCGTAGACGAGGGTGGAACTAGTAAGTTTGCTTTTAGATTGTAACAATTTTGTGTTAATCGAGAAGTGCAAAGAGTGAGCTCAATGTGTGGTGTTGGTGTCTCATGTTTATTTATTTTTATTTTACAGCTTGTTGTGAAGGTACAACATGGTATCTACTACTCTATGGGTGTGCACACATTTGTGCACCCCTCTATTCTTGTGGCTATCGATCCAAGCTAAGGAATCGATACTCGTTGGAGTCTACTCCTTGTAACGATTTCTTGGTGCACTTTTGTTGTGAAAAATGCGCCTTATGCCAAGAATACCGTGAGCTCCAAAATCGTGGATTCAACATGTCAGTTGGTTAGACAATTCCTCTCTTTCAAACAAATTTTTTAATATAATCGCTTATCAAGCCTGCTTGATATAACTTATTTCAACTTGAAAGTTGATAAAGTAGTAATTAAAACTACCAATTTCTCTACTTTTAAACAGTCAACCTTTTTTAACTTATTAAGTTATTTCTATCTTATAAATTATAAGCAAAACATGAATTAAATAGTCTCGTACAAATTTCAAAAAAGAAAGAAAGAATAAGCTATTAGCAGCCTCGTAAGCTGCACTAAACATGACCAAGGAAATGCGCAGAAACAAACTCGTGGACTAGCAATGGCACCCGCTGTGGAGGGAGGCATGAAGCGCTAGCTTCACAAACAAACCTACTCATATCACTATGATTATCAGTAGATGTCTTGAACTCTGGATGGTGATTTGAAGTCATTTTTTTTAAGGCAATAAGTGAAAGTACTAGCATATATGGATGTAATTTATCTTTGTGGTTGCGTAGTTCTGCACTGTTTTCATGAATGATGGAATTTATCTTTTTGGTATTGATGTATGACTTTGATGTACTATTCCACTGTTTTCATTAACACAAGTTTGTTTTGCTGATTAAAAAAAATGTAGAATTGGGTTAGTCTCTTTTGTTGCTTGCTTTATTTATAGTATAGATTTTTATGTTTTCTTTATTACCTTGATACCAAATAAAGACATTTTTCTGAGGTTGGTCCAACACCCTTTGTCCAAGAAATTCAGTGTAATGCATTTTGAGACATTTTTCTGAGGTTGGTCCAACACCCTTTGTCCAAGAAATTCAGTGTAATGCATTTTGAGACTCTGTGGACCTTAGGGAAACTTAAAACATCAAAAGAAACAAAATTTTGTTCAGCCTTAATGATACTGTGTTAAGGAAACTGCCACTTTGCACCTACAAAAATATCTCCAAGAAAACCTTTTTCATGTGGACATTTTCTCCGAAGATAGAAGATGAACAGAGGCAAGCACCAATTTTGACTTGTTAAAATTGAGGGACCCAAACCAATTCATCACATTATGAATGGTTTTGATGGTTTGAGCAAATCGATGCGGATACATTTTTCACAGTTTGACTAAGTTCGGAAGGATGGTGAATGGGAGGTCCCTTAACCCAACCCGATCCACGAACACCTATTGTTTGGTAGAGATGTGGTGATAAACTTTTAGTCACAAAAAATGATTGGCAATATACTGACAGTTTTTTTTTTTTTAAAAAAAAATTCCTAAAGGGGGAATTATTTAACAGCGGAGTAGATAAAAAAAAAATTACAAAACCATGGAAAGTGCAAGTGATCTTGTGATCGGGTGTAAGGGAAAAGCTCTATGTTTGTGTAATTTCTTTTTTTACTATCTTATTGATATGTAATTCACCCTTTTTAAACATGACATATTGCTTATTATTATTATTATTATTATTATTTTTTGTTAACATTTTAAAAAACTCATGTTGGGAAATTCTACTATACACATCTCCCATCATATGCTTTAATATACTTTGTGTATTAAAATAATGACATTTTATTAATTAATAATTACAGTTATTTGTGAAATACTAAAATTCGGCCTTGTTTTTATCATAAAAAAATGAAGGATAAAAAAATTAGGCCCAAATTAATATATATTTTATAGATTTAACAATATATTTATCTAGATGGACACACATTCACTAGTTTAATATATGTTTGGTTGGACACAAATTTAATAATGGATGTAAATTTAGTTTTGTAAAGGGGTAAAAAATAAAATCATATTTTCTCTCAATATTATTACTCAACAACTCTGATAAAGGAGGTTAATGTAATTAAAAAAATTATTGTAATTATCAAAAAGGAAGTTCATGTAATTACTTGTTGTAATAAACATTTTATTATATAATGGGTTTACGTAGAGTTATTTTTTGTGCATTTAGAAGCTCATTAAAAATACCACATGGAGAGTGAATTGCCAAAATAATTCTTGAACATTAGTGGCTTAAAATGGTGATGAACAAATAGTGAAATTCAGACTTTGAGCTTTGTTTTTTTGTGATTTTCTTTGTTTTCTTATTGAGTGATTTTTTTTGTTTTTAAATTTAAAAATTTTTAGGCTTGTAGATTCTACTCGACAAGGCGAATTGAAAAATTAATATTTTTTAAAAAATTCTAATTTTTTTTAGATAAGTGAAAAATATGAAAAAAAAAGTAGTGAGCTTTTTAAACTTATTTGGATTTTTCATTTTTTTTTAAATTTAAATATATATATATATATATTTTTACTTTTTAGATTCCTCTACATAAGACCGACTAGAAAAATTCCTAACATAATTTAAAAAAAAAAATCACAAGACAAAGATTCGAAAAAAGATATGACTTATTTGAGAGATCCCAAACGACTTCTAATTTAGTAATTCATGATTTATATTAAAATTAATAATAAACAAAAAAACTCGATGTTTTATTTGTTTGTGAAGATCAAATTCAAAATTATAATTATTTGAAAAAACTACAAAAAAACCCTTAAGTTTTTAGTTTTGTAACAAAATAAATTTTGAATTTTGAATTTTGTCAATTTATATTTTATTTATTTATTTTCAATATAAATCATTTGACTATTTACGTTATGTAAAATCGATAAAAAATAAATATTTTATTCATTAAACTCAATAGAAATAACGTTTAGACATTTTAAAATTATTGTAATTATCAAAAAGGAAGTTCATGTAATTACTTGTTGTAATAAACATTTTATTATATAATCGGTTTACTTAGAGTAATTTTTTGTGCATTTAGAAGCTCAAGAAAAATACCACATGGAGAGTGAATTGCGAAAATAATTCTTGAACATTAGTGGCTTAAAATGGTGATGAACAAATAGTTAAATTCAGACTTTGAGCTTTGTTTTCTTGTGACTTTTTTTGTTTTCTTATTTAGAGTTTTTTTTTTTTAAAAAAAATTTAAACATTTTTAGGCTTATATATTCTACTCGACAAGACGAATTGAAAAATTAATCAGTGTATTTGGTTTCAGTTTTTTGAAAACTAGATTTTTTATTTTTTGTATTTCTTTTTGTTGTTAGTGAATATTTTTAAAATTTTAAGCATTTTTTTTTAATTTTTATAAATGCACCTTACTTAGATATATCTAAAAATTAAAATATTTGTCAAAAAATCTTTTAAAAATTTAATAAATACACAAAAGTACGAAAAATATATTGAATTTTCATATATATATATTTTTATATTTTTGATATTTAGTGAATTTTTTAAAGATTTTTTTTTTGCAAAAATTATACTTTTTAGTTTATTTATGTTAGGTGTGTTTAAAAATTTTAAAAAATTGCTTAAAATATTAAAAAAATTCAGTAAAAA